CGTGCACCCCATCCGACCCCACCACAACATGCCAACGATTAGAGATCGGAGCCTCGCCGAGAACGGCCTAATCCAAACAGAGCGGACAAGGGCGATAACCAGAGACTTACCCTCTCCAGGCGGGCCGCAGACTGCGATGGAATAGAGAAGACCATACATAGGTCCATCGTCGACCGAAAGAGGCGCTGCCGCCGGTGAAATCCCCACCCGCTACCGGGAATAGGAACCCTAATCGCCGCCATCCACAGTGAATCGGAGGTGCGAAGGTCAGAGGGAGGAAGAGGGCAGTCTAGACGACCCCTGGCCATGCATATGCCGGCGACAAGGAAGGCCAATCGGCCGAATTTTGGGCGGATTTCAAGCATAGACGATGGAATCGGTTTATCGCGAGAGCAGGGAAATATCCCCAATCATTCTCATTCATCACATCAGTTTTTATTTATTAATCATCTACTAACATAATTTTAATTACCTATCATTTTCGATAATCTCTCTCCTACTTTTACATTACATCAATTTTAATCATTATATTTTGATAGTGCCTATGGAGCTCAACAATATTCATTTTGGAAGTTTGAAGACTATCAATTTAGTGCCAATGAAACAAAATTTTCAAGTAAAATTCCATAAAAATTGAAGACATGTACACAAAGACTAACATAAATGTGGAATAATTTTATTTCCACTAACACATTGTCAAAAAATCATGAAATTTTAAATTCTATCGAAAATGGTATGATAATTTGGACATGGTAAAGTTTCTTTTGACTAAAAAATTATTATAATACTAATAGAACAATAGGTAATATCTATTAGCATTTATATTTTAATTTTAATTTATTTTTTTAACCTTATCGCCGTTAATATGTTACTCATTAATCATCTTATTTTATCTCATATTAAACATTAATTAGAAATAATTTGAATTAGGTATATTCACTTTTATCTAAGAGTATAGAATAAGTACTAAAATCGATACAAAATATTTGCATACTGTAAAAGTACAATGAATTTTAACATATTAACGTAAGGATAAGTAAAAAATATTTATATGGTTGAAATTCTTATATTTAATGTATGAATTAAATAATGAAGGTTGTTACTGAAATATTTATTGTGTCTTCATTGATAAAATATGATTTTACAACTGTCCACGTTGATACCTAAACACGGAAATTAGAAATGTCATCTCATTCTTACAAAATTCATTTACAAGGACCTTTTGAGAGGCAGTTGTTTGCCATGGTTTGTCTTGAGAACGACGAACTTAGAAAATAATTGAATTGTTGGAGTCTCATTGGAGAGAAAGAAAGAATGAAGAAAAAGAAAGAGAGGAAGGAAGAAGAGGCTGGTGGTGATGATGGTGTTGGTTTTGCTGAAGAAAAAGAGGAAAAGGAGGAGGAAAAACATGAGAAAAAAGAGGAGGAAAGAGAGGAGGAGGAAAAAGATGGCGATGAAAAAGAGGAGAAAAAGAAGGAGGAACGATGGGCTCTGATGATTGTTGAGAAAGAACCTGTTGTGGATGACAATGAAGGTGTGACTGAAGTTTGAAAATCTGGACAGACTTGTTGTTTAGTAAATTTTTGCGGTGGGTAAAGGATAACCGAGTTACCCGACTCAGGTCGATCTCGAGGGAAGGCTATTCGGAGCTTAAATTACTATTCGATCACTCAAATCACAAAAAGAGGAAAATAAAACCTAAACATTCTAATCAAATGGTTTGAGATGGTTTTAAACTAGTTACGACTAAGGAAAGCTAGTAAACGAGCAATTAGGCAAGCAATGAAACTTAGAAACCCTAGCTTCTAAACCGGTGAACAAAGACAAGAGCAACAAAAGCGAAAATAAGAGAAACGAACTCCATTTAGCATGCTTAAAAGTCAAAACGAAATCCTACTACGAAATAACCGAGCTAAACATCAAGTCACGATTTTTCAAGTAGCAATCAACACTTCAACCAACTCCATGCATAATAAACGAGCTCACAAAAGTAAAGGAAACGAAAAAAACTAAAATAGATACTAAAAACCCAATAAACGAGCAAGCCCTAGTTACTTCTACACACGAGATAGCAAGTAAGTACGAAAATTGAGATTATAAGGCTTAAAAGTAAGTACTCACACCCTCAACGCGTGCTTGATCGAAATCGGAATAAAAAGATTAAAACTTGCATAAACGAGAAGTCACCGAAAAAAGTCGCCAGAAAGAGTAAATAACATCCACACTTACACTAGAGAGGAAATAAAAGTCTTAAGCTAAGAACTAAAAAGAGAAACATTTCATAATGAGCTAGATAATCCCCAAATGCAAAGGCCAAAAAGTATTTATACTCCACACAAACACACACTAAAAAATGCAGTTTAAATGAAGGTACTCTCCAACACGCCGTGGAAATCGCGAGCACGCGAGTGATGGCACCGGGCAAGAGAGGCTCTCGAGGTCGTGAATCCGGCTGCGAGCTCGCGAGACGGTGGGAAGAGGCTCTCGAGGTCGCGGCGAGAACGACGAGCTCGCGGCGTGGCTGGGCAACGGTGGCAAGAAGCTCTCGAGGTCGTGAAATTAGCGGCGAGATCGCGGCGTATGCTGGAATAAGCTCTCGAGGTCGCGGAAACGGCGGCGAGCTCGCGGCATGTGACGACAATGGCATGGATGAACTCTTCGACCCCGCGGATCTCTCGGCGAGCGCGCGGCATGGTGGTTCGGGGCTCTCGGAATTGAAAATATCTCATACGCAATGGCTCAAAACGTCTCGAAAACTCGACTTCTCCGAAAAATGCTCGTCTCTCGGAATGTGGCTCGACCCTCTTGAAATATGGCTCGACTCTCTCTCGCTATCCTCGGAATAAACCTGAAATTACACCAAAAGCACAGAAAATTATGCCAAAATATAAAATAGAAAGAAAAACATAAAGACACATGATAAACGACAAAATGGACCTGTTGGCACTAAAATAAACCAAGAATTGACTCGAAAGCACACAAAAACACATAAAAATAAACACAAAAACACAATAAACACTTGTAAAACTTGTAGTCGAGGATTCTGGTTTGATGGAGGGATCGGATGCTTGTTTGATGGATGGATCGACTGCTGGTCTGAGGGTGGAGGAGAAACAACGGCTTTCCTCAATGGTGAAGAGGGTTCGGGGAGGGCAGTGAGAAACAAGAAGACGAAGCCGGTGGAATTTATGACACATCCGTCATCCGGTCAGAAAAGGCAGAAGAAAGAAAAAAAAAAGAAAAAACAGTTGGTGACCTTGGATGATGATGAGGTAATTAAACTAGCAATTTTATGTTTGTAATTCATGTGATTATTCGTGTTGTTTCATATAACTAAGTAATTATTTTGTAATGTAGGAGGGTGACAAGAATGACGACGATGAGGATTGTTTGCTGAATCAATACAGGGGCAGAGAGGATCTCTGTGGATTAAAAACATTTTAAATATCATATCAACAAATGTGAGAGTGATTATGGGTCATATAAACATCATTTGCGATCGAATTTGGGTCGCAAATGAGTTCATTATAAGTGGTACTAAAGACCGGATATCTGGTACTAAAACAGAAAAACTAGGTCGTATCTTACTCTATTACTGG